CAAAACATACTTTTGATGGTAACGATAATAGGATTGTTTCTTGGCATAATGTATAAATTTGATTTGAAAGTTACTCGATTTGCCTAATGATACTCTTAAATATGTGGAAATTTATTATAACTCTACAGTTTTACATTTCAACAATAATTATGTCTCTCGTTAAAATAAAATGTAAAAGTGTATGGTGATGATCCAACTATACGTGTTTCATCGTTGTTTCTTGTTAGTTAAGATTACTTCAGTACATATAGCATGTACCTTGTTGATTATATTTTGTTAAAATTTGTCTTGCATAGGGAGCACATGCAACTTAGCAATTTGTGCATTTCTTATCCATCCTGGCTTTGTTGTGCTCAGTGCAAGTTGGTAGGTTTAGACCTAATTTTCTCATTCATTCAACTAAGCTAGACCTATATTTGTGTGATCATGATCACCATAAATGAATTAATAAATAATAATATTGTCTTGTTTTAATGAGCTAGCTAGTTATGTTTTTTTTTTTTTTTTTTTTGTGCCATTGTTTTATGAGGCACTAGTTATTTTTTTTTTTTTTTTTTTTAACATAATTTTTTTTTTTTTTTTTTTACTAATCAAACTGCATTAATTTATTTCTGTTTACATTATTAAGAGAATCCATCTTTAATTTTTTTTTTCTTTTATTATAAAAAAAATAAACTTAAAGAGAAAGTCTTCCCACGTAGCATTGCTTGCTGGCAGAAGAACAAGCCCATTAGATATGTCCTTCACCGCATTCCACTCCATGGCACTGACAGCCAATTTTCTCCGAGGAACAAATTTTGCAAAACGCATAGTTAAACCCTTTGTTGAGCTTTTTCCATTAAATTTTTATTAAATTTATTTAACTGACCAACAAAGGTATTGGTTAAGGTGATAAGTAATATCAACCCCCATAAGAGTGAGAATACAAGTTTGATTTCGGAAAGTGCATTTTGCTGAAAAAGTAAAAATCCATACGCTCTACGATCCAAAAGACTACTTAATTGACATTTAGGGATATATATATATATATATATTTGTTTAGAAGCAGACTGTGGTCTTACCCATGGAACAAATCAATTAAAATAAAAATTTTTAGAAAATTAGTTCCGTTTTATCCTTTTTTTTTACTAAATGAAAAAAAAATCTTTATTTCAAAAAAAAATATATTTTTTATTATTTTAGTTCATGAATGGACTCATAGACCGTATCTAGATAAATTAATTTCATTCAACACATCATCGACTGTGAATCGGAACAAATTAAATAATTAAGATGGATAGAAATTAGTACCATAAAATTTGCTTAAAAATCAAAGATGTTATAAAACAAACTTCAGCAAATACATTTTGTAGTTTTCTTAAGTTAAAAGAGAGTAGAAATGTCTAATACCTCCTTAATTATTTTATATTTTCTTGTCTCAAAATATAAGTCGTTTTTATTTGTTATTTTGTCCCAAAATATATAAATCGTTTTGTGTATTTTAAAAAATAATAAAAGATATTTTTTCAATGTTGCCCTTGTTTACACCAACTACAATAAATACTTCAGAAGCAACTATTGAGTTTAAAATAAAAGATAATTTGGTCAAATTACCTTTAAGTTTGTTATAATCTATGAGAATTAATTATTTCTTCAATCTTTGTGCAAAAACCTTAAATTACTTATATTTTGAGATAGATGGAGTAATTGAAAGTCTTAATCAATCTAATTACTCCTTCCATTCCATCTTAATAGCAACATTCGATCTTTTCATAAAGATAAAGAAAATGATTGGAATATATTGATTTTCTAAAAATATGTGATAGAATATTTAAATTGCCCTTCTTAAAATTAAAAATCCCTATTAATTTTCCTATAAAACACCTAATATGAGGTAAAATTGGAAAAATAATTAATACATCCTCATAATTCTAAACGAGCACTTAAAGTGAAATAAGATAAAATGTTCATATGTTGCTATAAAGTGAAACGGATGGAATAGTAATTATGATGAGCGCCACTTGTCATTATACAGATGGATTGGTCGAAGTATAACTTCTACCAATTTTAGTAAAATTACTTATTCCATTAATTTCCAATGAAGCATAAGAGACTCTCTCCGTCCCAAAATATAAACTGTTTTAAAGTGATAATTTTTTTTGAAAATATAAGTGGTATTGAATATTTTAAGAGTAATAAACGATTTTTTTTCAATTTTATCCTTATTTACAATAACCTGAGAAAAGAATAATGTTGTGAAATAAAAGGTAATTTGGTAGAATTACCTTTATTTTTGTTATAATTTAAATAAATTAATTCCTTCTTTAATTTCTATATAAAAATTTTAAACCATTTATATTTCAACAAAGAGAATAGAAAAATTGAGTTGAATCCCGTCAAATGAGCTGTATATAAATAAATTTTTATAGCTTTTATAATAAAAAATAAATATGAATTAATGTATATAGGCAAGTGTTACCTACGATGGGGACCATTTTACCAATTCACTCGGTGTTCTACAATTCCTCTTTTAGCTTTCACAGTCCCTAGCAGCTCGAAGAAGATTACCGTAAATGTGAAAAATACAGACCCCTAAAAAATGCTTATGGATATAAAATGGAAACCTATATTTATATATATGTCCCCTTCACATTTATGATTTTTACTAAAAGATCGATTATTATTTTAGGAGAATATTCCAACCCCGCGTTGTTGGTATTCGCGTAAAATTTTTTCAATAATAATGATTTGAAATTTTAAAATTTTAACCTCATAAGTAAAATTCATATGAAAATCGATCCATTTTCATTAATCAAACCATATCTTGTTATTTATATTTCTCTAATTGAGTATTTATTTGATAATAAACAATCATATTCATCAATTCTCTTGTTTTAAACGAACGAATGAATGGTAAAGTGATCTCATATATATAACAAAAGGAAAAAGAGAGATAAGGTGTTGTTCTAACATATGAATATATATATATATATATATAACGAATGAAAAGTACTAATTAATTAATGTACTAATTATCAAAAAATTAACATTGATTTATTTCTGATCGTGACCCTCCATTAACCCAATTATTAGATTTATATTCAAAGACTAAGCTGGATTTGAATCAATTGACATTCCCAAATTTATTTATTTTGTAATTTTTATAGATTTTAGGCTGCCATGTGGAGGAGATGGTTTCATTTTAGAATTCAAATATTTAAAAAAAAAAAAAGAAGAAGAATTGCTGCTAATTTTTATTCCTTAAAGAATGCCTAATGGCTTTGATCCCTCCATTTGGCTTCCATCGTCTGATTTTACTACTTGCTCACTTTCATATCTCCCATGACCAAAATGTGCACATTTCATATTTATAAAGAAAAATCTTTCTACACAGGATTTTAGTGTTCGATTACATTTAAATTATTAATATAAAAATATTGTTCGATAAAATATTAGTAAAATGGAAAGATGTTTGATATCAGGTTTCACCTGATAGTTTATGGAGCTATATACTTGTAATTAATGCTAATTTTACGAATTCAATTAATGAAGCACGATTATTGAATTTCATCATATATCATTAATCTCTATGAACGGCAAAATGCCTCGAAATCATGAAGATCTTAACTAATCCCATTTTTTAAACATTTTTATTAATTTCCTTTCAAAAAACATTTTTATCAATTTATTATAAATATATAAATATATAAAAATTATTATAATTTATATAAAATATATAAAATATTATATATGCACATCGTATATTAATAATACTTTATATTTAAGTACTTATAAAAATTTTTATAATCAGGTTCGGTCAAAACATGAATGGATAATTTGGAAAAATAAGAAATTAAAACGAGAAATTTAATTAAAAAATAAAAATTATTATATATGCACATCGTATATTAATATACTTTATATTTTATACTTATAAATTTTTATAATCAGGTTCGGTCAAAACATGAATGGATATTTGGAAAAAATAAGAAATTAAAACGAGAATTATTAAAAATAAAATAAAACTTAATAAGCGCATAATAGATAATTTAAAAATTAATTATATAAAATGTAAAACAAATTAATAGACTATATTTGAAATAGATAAAAAAAGAAAAGATGAATTATCTATAAAACAGAGGTAGTTCCTCATCGGATTACCGGACAAGGATCGGGCAAGATTTATGGGAGGGGGGCTCCAAATCTTACAAGGTTGAAATCCTAGCTAACAAAGATAGAGAGAATATAGTACAAAATTTGTATTAATAAAAATGATAATTAATGAATTAAATAACAAATTCATGTGGAAATAATCTAATGTTCTTCCAAAAGAAAAATCTTCTCCAGTTTAGTAGAAGATTTGACAGAATCTATCAAAAATCTCAGCCATAATTATTTTAGATCTTGTCAATTGTTGGTTTTAGATTTTGCTTAGTATCAATGTTTACTAATCAAGAACACATGCCAACTCCAAAAAATAAAATAATATTTCTATTTCATTTTTAAAAAATTTCTAAAGAAAATAACAGGAAATTAGAATTTTTTTTTTTTTCCTAAATGGGGGCTAAATGGTCTGTTTGGGTTACAGAATTGCATGTTGGGGCCTTAGTTAGCACTCACTAAACACCAAAAAGAGAGAAAAAGGGTTTAAACTTTATACAGAAAGGTCTCTTTTGGATACATATGTAAGTTTTACTTTGCACCAAATGACCAAATAATGTTGTCTGCGCAAAAATTAAAATCTCATCTTTGTAACAAGAAGTTTTTTTAATCTTTCATTTTTTTTTTCTTAACATTCCATTTGGACAAAGTACTGATCTATTTCTTTATATAAATATTTTCTCATAAATGGAATATCTGACCGTCTAAAATTGGTATGAGCAATGCAAAATTAACTTACCAATTAAAAGTTTATTTTTAATTAAAAATTGCTTATTATATATACCCACATTGCATAACAATCCAAACAATAACAATAGCACCAAACAACTTTGTTGGATATTAAATATTAACATACAACATTCACAAAACTAAACCCTTCACTGTATATGTATCTCTTCAAAATTACAAATTTTTTTTCTTTTCTTGCTTCTTGGTCCTATGCTATATATTCTTTTGTCAATAGGGTCAAAAGAAAATAAAAAAATAAAAAAAGAAGTGATTCAAATTGTTCTGATAGACAGTGCCCAAACCAAAATGTGTCCTATGCTGCAAAACTGGTTGATGTTTGTTTTTTTTTCTTTTTTTAAATTTTTTTATGAAAATTGTTAATTAAAAAAGAGAAAGAGAGAGAGAGAGAGAGAGAGAGAAAATGATAGCTGGAAAAAGCTGGATGGATGGATGGATGGATGGAAGACCTACTCCTCCAAGAACCGGTTCACAATCTTCATGCTTGGCTCCAACACATCTCTCTCCCAAACTTCAATCCATCTCTTCTTCTTCTTCTTTCTTTTCTTTTTTTTCTTGTTATCAAATGACGGCGGCGCCACCTCCATCGCCACCCTGAACGCTTCCGTTGCATCTACTCTTTGTAGGTCCCACCCTGCTCCTTTTAATTTCATGATTTTCCCTAGCTGCCTCTTCGCTAGTTGACACGTGTTCTCCTTTATCTCCCTCACCGCTTCCTCGTATGCGCCTCTCCGTACTGAATCCCATGCCCCTCCTCCTCCTGTTCCTGGTGGATACTTTTTAAAATACTGGTCAAACTCCGGTACTCCGATTGCTTTTCCTATACCGGGTTGACTCGCCGAGTTTCCGGACCGGTAAAACTCCGATAATTCCTCAAACATACCCGAGTCGAGCATTTCGTCTACTCGTTCGCATAAGTAATCGCATAGAACTGGTAATGACACATCCACCCATAGAAAACAACAGTTGTACCTTAGCTGGGTCGAAACCGCGTTATTTAGTGACTCGTCGAAAACATCAATCCCCGGATTAAACCGGTCGACAACAAGAGCATGAATAAAAGAGTTGGACCCACCCACTATGAGAGGCAGCCTTTGTCTCGAAACAATATCCGATATAGCCAACCCAGCCGTTAAACGGAACTTAGAAGGACTTACCTCGCCGTCTTCCGGGTCAAAAACGCCAAGCAAATGGTGATCAACGCCGAGCCGCTCGTGAATCGAGATTTTGTTGGTTGTTACATCAAGCCCTTTGTAGACTTGCATTTTATCAGAGTTTATGATTTCGGAATATTGAAACCGGGTGGCAAGATCAATAGAAAGTTTTGATTTACCACACCCAGTTGCTCCCATAACAACGACGATCTTGTCTTTGTGGCGACGACTGGGCCTTTCCGATGAGTCCATGCGGACTACCCGGTTCGGTCGCCGGAAAACCGGTTTAACAATCAGTGAAGGTCTGTGCAGAGGTGCGATTTTGTGGCAAATGTAATGGGAGTGGAACTGAATATTAGAGAAAGGTAAAGTCATAGGCAAAGAAAGAAGAAGAGAGAGGAATAGGAAATAGGTGGGTACGTACGTATTTGGGTATTTGCTGAGCGGCACAGACATATACGGAATCAATGTGAAGACACTTTATGTGTGCGAGAGAGATGGAGAGAGGGGCAGTACCTGCTCTGTTTATGTGTGTGTAGGTGTGAATAAAAGCTGCAATAAGAGGAATGATCCATGAAAAGCAAAGCATATACGAGCGAGCCGAAGGTAGAAGATAGAAGATGGCCAGGCCAACAACTGAGGGAAAACTCTAATCAGATCATTATATATCTCCCTCTCTCTGTCCTCTACATGAGAATAAGATTAAGATTTTCATTTTTTAAAATTTATTTAACAAATATGGTGGGTTTTGTTTTATATAATATATGTTAGTAATTAAAACAATAAAGTTTATAACTAAATAATTTGATTAAACTTTAATGTGAAGTTAGAATCTTATTTTATATTTTTAAGCAAAATCATAGAGTAAAATTTAATTTAAAAATTTTTATTATTAAATAAAATTTTTAAAAACAATAGTGATATGTTATATATGAATATAGGTACCAAATATTGAGTCGATCCAATTAAATTAGTTGGAAGCACGGCGACGAGGTGCCTGTGGGCCGTACGCGGTGAATTTCAAAAAATTTTGGCTCCTGCTACCTATTGCTAGAAATCCCTTATCTTGGTCTTACCAAGGTTAATATATTTAGGGCTTTGCTTTACTTCTTTTCATGACTAATTTGTTTTTGGAAAATGAAGGAATGGATTAAAAAAATAGAAAAATGAAAATTCTATTCAAAGTTAAAAATTTAAAAATTGACTAATCAAATTGAATTCTTGATCTCTCCCACCCACAAAGAATATAGTCTATTTTGAATTTGAAGATGGAGAACAGAGAATGTATATGTGTTTAAGATTTTTAAACCACTTTGATTGAAGGTCATTGAGAATAGACTGGAGTTAAAGTTTAATAAATATTATATAAAATAGTTTAAATTAATAACTTCTATTGAAAAAAATTTTTGTGTTACAAAGTACTTTAAGATATTATTTATGGTATTTTACTCTTTTAAATTAGATATGGTTAAAAAAGTTCAAATAATAATAATTACTTCTATGTTAGTAATATTGGAGTGATTTTCAATTGATTCTGTATAAGATAAATTTAATAAATATATTTTTAACTTTATAAAAAGAAAAAAGATGAGTATTGACTATAATATTCTTCACCAATTTGACGAGTAAGGATTATCTCGTTTCATGTAGCTCATATTTTTCTAGCGAATTGGACTTCTCAAATAAATAAAAAAAAAAGAAAAAGAAAAATGCAAGAGTGTTGAATAAAATCATGTTCAATTATTTTATATAATTTTTTCATATTTCACCACATTATCTAAGATTTCTTGCAACTGAATTGTGTTGGAACTATTACTTAATAAATTTCTCATAAATCCATATATTAAAGTTTATATTTTGAATTTTGTTTGATTTGATTTGATTTGACAATCTTAACTATAACCATAATCAAATTAATATTGAGAGTTTTAAAATTTTCAAATCAAATCAAATCATTAACTTTTAAAATTTGCTATTGTTTAAATCGATTTGATTTGATATAAACGGTTTGAAATTCTTCATGAAGACTCCTAATAATAGACCTCACGGATTCAATATTCACAAAAAAACATTTTGAAAAAAAAAAAAAACAATTTCAATATTCACAAAAAAGCATTTTGAAAAGAAAAAAAAAACAATTTATCAACAAATCAAAATCGATTTAAACCAGCAAACCTGGCGAAACCCATCTGGTTTCGGTCAAACCAAGTAATTAATATTTGGCTTACATCCAAACTAAGCAATTGTTCAATATTTGCATATTATCCCTGTCAATACTCGTCATCCATGGTAGTGTTATAGATGCAAAATATAAGGAAAATTAATGTATTTTTAAAAAATATATAGATAAATTAGTATATTTAGTAAACTATAAGGACAAAATAGTGATTTTCCTATGATAATACTCTAGGCATTATACCTATTGGGTGTTATAATATTAGGTATAATTATAATACTAATAGGAATAGTACTAATTATATTATTAGGTAAAAAATTATAATTACAAAGACTCCAATAATTTTTTATAATATTATTTTTAACTAAAATATTAGATATGATTATACTAGTAGCTGTAATTAGAAAGTCTATAACTATGTTAGGGCAGTAAACGAGTCAAGCTCGATTTGTTAAATTATACCAAAGTTCGAAAAAATAGGCTTAAATTATGGTAATTTGACTTTTATCAAGCTTAAGCTCGGTTTGTTTATAGTTCATATTTACTTTTTTTTTTAGCTCATTTATTAAATTTTATTGTATAAATTTGAATGTATATTTTTGCAGTAGAACCTCGAGTAGCTCATCAACATCTAGTTTATTTATAGCTTTAATTATACAATATTAAAATATTAATGATAATTAGAATATTTATAAAATAATACTAGTTAGTTATTATAAGTATAATATAGATATTTCAATTATTTATGTTTAACTATAATTTTTATCTATAGTTAATTCATATAGAATATTTATATCCAAACATATATATTTCATAAATCTAAAATCTAAATCGTTTATTATGTACATAAAAATTCTTATCCTACGATAAGTCGTTATATAATTATAATCTAAATTATTTATATATGAGATAGTATTAAATATTTTTAAATATCTTTTATCAACTATCTAAAAATTTGCTGCTTTTACATGCAGTTTCACTCTATTTGATCTTTTTATCAATTTTATACTAATTTGGATGTTTTCCAGCAATAGGACCCTCAATTGTTATTGACAATAGAATTGCCAAAAAAAAAAAGTTGTGATTATTTAAAAAAAAAAAATCATTAACAATAAAATAAAAGATTAACTGTCATTTGAATCAAACCATATTCCTCCAATAGATGGCACATTTATAGATTTGAAAATATAATATCTGAAACATGTGTAATTAAAATAATCAATAAATTATTATTTTTTTATTAGGGCTTCGTTTGTTTCTAAAAAATAACTTGTAGAAAAATATTTTACAGGAAAATAAATTACTTTCCGACGTTTGGCTTTACATAAAATATTCTTGGAAAATATTTTTTAACATTTGATATAACATTAAAAAATTTAACTTTCCATCATATAAATAATGCACTTACACCTATTATATTATTCATAATCAATCTATATTAAAGATAAATTTAATAATTAGATTTTATATTTAAAATGTATTCTCATAGTATAAATACTATAATGATGAAATTTAGTCTAATAATGTGATTTAATTTTTAATGCCACTTACACCTATTAATTAATTCATAATCAATCTATATTAAAGATAAATTTAATAATTAGATTTATATTTAAAATGTATCAAAATGTATTCTCATAGTATAAATACTATAATGATGAAATTTAGTCTAATAATGTGATTTAATTTTTTTAATTAAATTATTTAACATTACAGTGCATATCATGTTAAGATAATTTAACATATATATATATATATAGCTACTTCAAAATATATTACTAAAATTTATTCCTTCCGTCCCATTTTATTTGTTTGTTATTCCTTTTTAGGATGTCTCAAAATATTTGCAAGGTTTCTAAATTTATACATTTAAATAATTTTTTTTTCATAACAACCTTTATAATTGTTCATTAAATGAAGAACTTTTTTATTAATATCTTAATATCTTCATGAGTTAAGAGTAAAAAAAGAACAAATAATTTTTGATGTTTAAATTTATAATATTCGTATTTTGTCAAACTATGCAAACAAAATGGGACGGAAGGAGTATATTTTAAATGATATGAGCTTTCACATATTTTAACAAATATATTGTTAAAATAATCATGTTGCAAAAAGTATCATGTAAAATATATTTTAAATGATATGGACCTATCAATAAATTATTTTAAATATTTCTTCCAAAAAAAATCTTCCAAAAAAAAAAAGCCACTTGTCACATTTTTAAAATTTTTAAATGAGTTATACAAGTAATGAATAACTAGACCTCTCTACTTTATTATATTTCATAAGTAGTGAAAATAGTACTTAAACTCACTAGCTCTAAGCTCATACACTAATCTTTAAACCGGTAATAATCGGGTCGAGCACTCGAAAATATCCATCCTAGAGGCAGTTGTTAAAATAATAAAATTAAACAGAGAACAAAAGTTTGAGGAATAAAAAAGATAAACACGTTAAAAATAAAAAGAGTGGAATACAACAAGGTCTCGGTTCATATGGTTTGCTGTTATAATGCCCCCTCCGACCTAGAACAAGCTATATATATAATGGTTTAGAAACAAAACATATGACATGAGAAAGAAAGAGTGGTTCCACCGGGCACCGGCAGATGAGTCAAGAGCCGACCGACGCTTGACCCAATTTCTAAGCCACTTGGTTGGGTGAGTTACTTATTGTTAGTGGCTGCAGTGTGACAGTAGGCGTGATGGAGTCTCCCACATGCATGCATGGTCTTCGGTACCGCGATAGCTTAAGGTGGAGTTTCCCACTTCAATGCTTAACTTTCTTTTAGTTTTATTATTATTATAAATTGTGCGTTACAACAAGGTTTCATTTCTTTAGTGTGCATGTTTCGTCTCTTCTCTTTTTTCCCTTTTATGCAGCATTTCTTCTATTTTTTTTTCTGTCTTCTCCACCCTCCATACATTGCCCTTCTTTACTTACTATTGTTCTCCAATAGTTTTTTATTTTTTTCCTCTAATAATAATATCATTGGTGATCATATATTAAAGTATAGAACTTGTCTTGTTGGGGACGAACATATTCAGTGGAGGAAGGTTAAATTGCTCCCCTCCTCTCAGAAGGATAAAAAACAAAAGTTTATATTTCCATAATTCGAACCCCAGTTTCTCCACTTTTTTTCGAAGCAGTTCAACAACTTTGACCCCCCCCCCCCCCTTTCCGAAAGCAGTTCAACAACTTTGACCCCCCCCCGCCCTTCACTTTTATGCCATATGGTTTGGTCCCTTTCTATTTTAACAATTGTGATTTCGTCTCTGTCCGAATCTATAGGCCTAATTTCATTGGACGACACAATTGAAACAATAAGATGATTTTTTAAAAACTTGTTCAACTGTAATTCTTTTATTTTCCTTCCCAATGAATGAGAAAAATAAGAGAACGGTATTTTGTTATTCTTCCAATGAGTATCATGCAAAAATATTCCATAACATGAAAACACTAAAATGTGTAATCATGGCTAACAAAGAAAAACAAAAAAAAAAAAAAAAAAAAAAAAAAAAAAAAAA